TTGGTGGTTGACTTTGTGGGTGATGCTATACCGCTCCCGGTTCCAAACATGCTGGGGCGTACCTTTCTTGCATGACCGGGACTGCCAAAGGTCTCGTCGATGACGCCCTTTCATTCTTCGGACCTGAGGACCGGCCATGGTGCAGATTTGTAAATGGGGGTGATGGTTTTAGTTTGAAGCTACATGGGAGGTAAGAGACAACGGGTGAATGATGATGGTTCAACATTGATTGAACGATGATGGCTTTTGGCATGTCAAATAAACCAAGAGCGAGGCTTGACCCCCAGCATGCGTCAAACATTTTTCTTGACGCACCCCACCACGTGATGCACACTAAAGGGCCGTGGAAGTCAGCTTCAGTGACACACGACACACAGCGGAAGGAAGCAAACATATTCTTCAAACAAACCATGAGGTTGAAAAGCTAAGTCGAATTAATTCGAATTATATTTTGAACATTCACCATACTTTCCAAATAGTCACTGGCTGGGCAAATCCACTCATGAACACTTTGCGTTGTCACGAGGCCAAGATTGAGACTTCACTAAATGTAAGCCTGCAGGGACCCCCAAATATTTGAAGATATTGAGTAATCATGACATGAAACACCGATGAAAAATATAGACCATGAAAACATGTAAACATACATGAGACTTCAGCCTTTGTTTGAAAACACGTGTATCAGCTTTCGAGTTATATAGCGGAAATTAATTATAGAAGACTATGACCCATCAAATTTAAATAAATATCATGTTCAGGAAGTCCCAGCCAAAGGCACAAACAGCACTTCTGCTCTTGCACTGCAAACCCCCCGGTGGCCAAGTTGTTTGCAACTTGGGAACCAACCCCCTAAAATTGTTCAGCATCGCCAGTTGTGCAACATCACAACAAACTAACAGAAATCCATAGAAACAATCAGCGTTTGGTGGATTTGACCACACGCTGCACAGCCTTCATTGATGACTGTTTCAATGTTTCTTTCATGGTTGGAAAATCACCATGTTCACTCACCCGGTCATCCTTTGAGCGTGACTTGTTGGTAATGTCCTCGATGTAGTTCACCTGAGCCGGCGGGGGTGCCAATAAGAGACTATGACTAGGTTTTTATCTTCAAACCATAGTGTCAATAAAGTAAGCAACATATCACAGTTGTGAAACCCCATCCATGTGTGAACATGAGCGAAGTGATTCAAAATCTCAATGTTTTTCTGATGTCAAGTGGCCATCAATTGAGCTGCTTTCATGGAAGCAACAAGTCGATGAAGGTATGGTCCATGTTCACTTTGCACGGAGAAGCAACCCCCATCCATCCCTTCAGACTTGAGGTAGAAACCACAGGCTGGGCGGTTCCAGTACGGGGTGTAACGACACTCATCCGTGTTGGGAAAAGGTTCTCTCAGGCGATCTTTGGTTTGCTTTGTCAGATCCTCAAACTTCTTGACCCGAATGCCCAATGCAAGAACATCCTTGATATGTTGGGCGATGGCTTTGACCTGTTCCTTTTGGTTTGTGTGACAAGTCTCCTCCTCACTCTCAACACTTGAATCATCCGCCTTTTCCTCCAAGACTTCAATATGTTTTTTCTTCGTGGTTTTTTTCTTGGGTGCCTTTTCAACCTTCTTTGCCTTTCCCTCCCCTGAACATCCGTCACCTTCAGCAGCGACCAGTGAGTGCAAGGATACCTGCCCATCCAAGTGCGCATAGTGATCAAAAGCCTGAGACGATTGGCCCCAGCTTTCCTGACCCCACACTTCCTCCTCCTGCCATTCCTTGTCCCACATAGCCTTGCACCTAGCCCACTCCTCAGAGACATCATCGGTCCAAAAGGTCTGCGGTGTGGCGATTTTTCTTTTCTTTTCGGGAACCTCAACCTCTGGGTCATCATGATCACTCCGTTTGGTTGCTGTTGAACCTCGACCCCTACCACGGCCTTTGCCTTTTCCTCGCTTAGCTGGCTGTAGATTGAGCTGCTCCTGCCTTTTGACAAAGTCATCATCGGCCTCGCCAATTCAAACCACCCAGGACATATAGCAACTTGAGAAGTAAGAGAAACACATTGGTTGAAGCAGTGCGGTGAAAGTACGAAACATGTAGAAAACATTTCGGTGGGAGTTGGATTGATAGCTTTGGAATCTCCATTGTAGACTTTCAAGACTCCGACCCACCTACCCACCCCCTGCCTCATCCTCAGTGAAATCATCCGGTGTCTTCTCCTTCTCGACGCTGCCCTTCTTGGAGTCCAACTCTCCTTTAGCTGGGCTAGGTGTGGCACCCAATTCCAAGGTCTCCTCACCCTTTCCCTTCCCCTTCTTGATGCTTTGAAATTGCGCACGCTTGTCAGTAGCTGATGAAAAGGGTGACTCAACGGTTGGAACTGGAGGCGATGCTGGAACAGGGGCTTCAAAAATATCAGCCAGAGGCAGTGTCTCCACCATGTCGGTACATGGCCCGTTAACTCCTGCCAGGGGCTATTATTAGACATATTTAACACTAAATCAGAATCAACATGTTGAATTGGAATCAGCAAGATGCAATTTTGGAAATGCAATTGTCAACCAAAAAGGGTCCTTTGGTAGAAGTTGAAGGCGCTGAAGCAGGTGGAGAAGACGCTGTGGCAGCAAGTTTTGCTGCACGCAGCCTTTGGAACCAATGGGCATATCTTGAACATCAGAAACATTCAGAAACTAATGGGACTTATTGAGGCAACGAATTCAACACCCAAAGATGCATGGAACCAGTTCCAAGAGGAAATCCAACAACTCCATTCCTCCAAGAGACTTTGCCAATTTCTCCTCAATTGCAGCACGCTTAGCTCGCAGGGCGTCACCTTAATCAAGCAACCGAAAGGAAATGAAACCCAACACATGTGGTGAAACATGAACAAGTTGACAAACAATTTTTCAACCCCGTAACCCAAACCACAACAAACTGAGTAATGAACTTGACCCAATGGAGGCAGGACTGGGGGTGGTAGCAACTGAAGTTGGAGACGCTGCAGGTTGGGATGGAACGGGGCAAGCAACTGCAACCTCAACTGAAGGTGGTGGAACTGGAGCAACCTCAACTGAAGGTGCTGGAAGTGGAGCAACCTCAGCTGAAGGTGCCGGAACTGCACCAACCTCCACTGCTGGCGCCTCAACTGGAAGAACCTCAACAACCGGGGCTGGTGGAGCTGCTTCAGCTGAATGGGCGTCATCTGACCCTGAACCCGGAGGTGCACCGACATCACCGTCATTTCCATTGTCCGCATCCAACTCACTACTAGAAGATGAATCCCAAGCATCTTCATCATCAGGTCTCATGTCCTCATGCGGGGAAAAACAAAAACTGAAGACCAACACTTATAAACACAAATTCATCAATCAAGGTAAGCGAGCCGATAACATAAAACCCCGCCACACCCCACTTCCCAAGACCCAGTGTGTCCTTCCTCCCCCGCTTTCTCAATCGTTCTTCCGCCCTTTTGTTGACCCTTCTCACTTCCTCCTGCGCCGCTGACATACAAAAAACTAAAGAAGGTTGGACCCACGGGGGCAAAGAACCTGTTGATGTTTTGCAATCATGACCCGCCTCAAGAAGTGGGTCCAAAATCAGCACAAGACGTTGGAACTTCCTCACCTCATTGTTGGTAGAGAGTTTCGTTGAGAACAGTGATATTCAAAATTGCTATCATAATAGAAACCACGTGTTTTGATAATTTTTGATAACTTTCCACATATGGATTTGCATGATGGTAATTGCGATTGAGTCACGGTAGAGACTTCCCAACGACGAGCTTTCATCTTCAGAAATCCCAGGAGTTTTTTCAACGCCCAAGCTTTTTTGGACAAATCCTGAAACTGCAAGTCCATTCCCTGTTTATTTTTCTTAAGAAGTTCCTCAAGTTCGTACCTCACCTGTTCGATGGCTGGCAAATCACGATGTTCCCGCTCAGCCATTTTTTGAAGTATGGGGATCAACAGGGCTTCATGCTTAATGCAACTTGAGATGTCTTGGCACAATGGAGCTTCCAAGATTTGATTCCCATTACGAAGGAAATCCCTCAATGTTTGATCCGCATCCCATTCCAAGTGCACATCGTCGATATCGGTGCAGCGGGGCATGGCTTCAATGATTTTGGGGTGAGGAACCTTAAGCCAAAATAGCTCTGGAAAGTAGGTGTGAACTTGATCCAAAGATCTCTCATATCAAGTGATCTCACGACTGGTTGAAGTCACATCAATATAAAGGATAATTAAGGCTTAGTGTTACCAAATGTTACCAACCTTTCCTGTTTTCATGTTTGTTCTAGATGACGTTTTTTCCCCCTCTGTGCTTCCTGCAGGACTGGGGATCCTGACGTGGTCTTTGATAGCAGCAAAAAGCCATTGCTGCACGGGTCCACGCGTGGCCAATGCGTGGTGGTGGTGGTTTATTTATATCTCAGGCTCAGGCACTACCTTTTGAATATATACATCTATACTGGTTTGATCATCCGGCGCCTGAGTCTGAGATATATATATACAAATGCATGATTTAATTGGGTTTCCCATTTACATGAAAGATGATTCGATCAACATGTGTTTACTATGCGTGCTGTGATGTGGCCAGCCTTCTTCCTTGGCTGGGAAAGGTACAATAAGTCTTTAGTTAATGGAACTATATACTTATGGTTATTATCATCTATTATCTATAGAAGATGTCCTGATCAAACCCGCATATTTGCTACCTAAGTTCCTAATTATGCTCCGTGAGCACCCCAACACGGAGCTTTGAAGCCAAGAGCCACAAGATTCCAACACCTGTGGGGCCAGCAGGGCACTGGGTTCGAATTAATTAAAGGTAAACCCAGGGTTTATATAGCAAACCCGATGTTTAAGTCCATGTCATGGGTAAACCCAAGGTATCATAATGAACCCGTCAAATTCTTAGGGTTTGGATGCTTAGGGTATATAGAAACCCGGTATTTCCCAACTCACCAGTTCAACTTCTCACCACTTTCAGTGTCGCGTCCGAGGCACCACTTTGGGTTCGTCGCTGGAGGCGTTGATGGCGCGCAGCAAGAAGCGCACCACGGGCATCGTCTCGCGCAGGGATTTGAAGAGCCGTTGGAGGCCCACCTTTGGACGAGGAAAGCATCGGAAAAGCATCGGAAAAGCATCGGAAAACCATAGAAAACCATAGAAAAACATAGAAAAACATAGAAGAAAAACATAGAAAAACATCGAAAACCATAGAAAACCATAGAAAAACATAGAAAAACATAGAAAAACATAGAAAAACATAGAAAAACATAGAAGACCATAGAAAAACATAGAAAACCATAGAAAAACATAGAAAACCATAGGAAAACATAGAAAAACATAGAAAAACATAGAAAAACATAGAAAAAACATAGAAAAACATAGAAACACATAGAAAAACATAGAAAACCATAGAAAAACATAGAAAACCATAGGAAAACATAGGAAAACATAGAAAAACATAGAAAAACATAGAAAAAACATAGAAAAACATAGAAACACATAGAAAAACATAGAAAACCATAGGAAAACATGGAAAAACATAGAAAAACCATAGGAAAACATAGAAAAACATAGAAACACATAGAAAAACATAGAAAACCATTGGAACACATGGAAAAACATAGAAAAACATAGAAAACCATAGAAAAACAATCACCATTGAATCACCGTTGAATCCCATTGAATCCCATTGAATCCCATTGAATCCCATTGAATCACCATTGAATCACCGTTGAATCCCATTGAATCCCATTGAATCCCATTGAATCACCAGTGAATCACCGTTGAATCCCATTGAATCCCATTGAATCCCATTGAATCCCATTGAATCACCAGTGAATCACCGTTGAATCACCATTGAATCCCATTAAAACACCATAGATTGCTTTCATTTCAGACAACCCCATTTTTTCTTCTCCGAATCCCAGGAATCCGGGCCAAGGCTAAGGCGTTCAACGGCAGCTCTAACCTGGGATTTCCGGAAACGCGAAAAAGAGCTGGTACAATGTGGGCCCCCCCAGTTTTAAGTTGGTTTTTGAATCCCCATAACTATAGTTATAAGTACCATAAACCATAGTTATTGGAGTTGTAAACCAACTTAGCATCTTGGGGGCCCCACATTGTAGAGATCCGAAAATCACTGGTGAATGGATGTTGATTCCCGAAAAATCCAATCTGGTAGTAGGTTTTGAATGGTTTTGACCCATCCACATGTGTGTCCTAAAAAAATCGAGGTGGAAACCCGCGCTGAAACATAGGAAGAAAAAGCCAGGAACTTGGATTTCGATGGACATATGGAGGTTTCCTAAAAAGCGGGGGTACCCCAAACCATGGGTTTCAATACTAAGTCATGGTCTAATGACTTGGATTGATATGGGGTACCCCTATTTAGGATACCTCCACATAGATACATACATACATATGTATATATATATATATACATTGTGTACATATATATACACAATGATAAACATAGAGTGTGTATAATATATGCATGCAATAAGTGTGTATACATTATGATATATGTATGTAATAAGCGTAATATAAGTATGTATAAGTGTAAGACGATACTAGATACATTGTTTTTTTGTGGCGGAAGAAATCATCCCAATTCTGCGCAGGTTGCTGGTGGTGTTTCCACCGTTCCACCGTTGAGAAAAAAAGATGGCCGGGATCATCCCATGTTCATCTTGTTTCCCCATGAAGTTTCAATTCCCATAGCCGCCATAACCCATGTACCATGTTTATATATGTATATGCTTATCTTACTGGTGCTAAACGTAGGGAATGGATGGGAATGCGGGTTGCTGGGATGATTATTACTAGCGATGACATGATGACATGGATCATTCCCAAAATTCCCTGCGTTTAGCACCAGGAAGTTATACTCCCATGGTACACTTACACTTAGTCTTGGACTCGATACAGCATCGCTTGCTATGGGTCCCTGGGTCCCGCTGAAACCCGCTGGTCCCATCCCACGTGATTGCAATGGATCGGCCTGACTTGCGCAGTGCACGACCATGAAAATTACACGAGTTACCCTCTGGTAAATATACAAAAAGCTATTGAAAATGGCCATTTATAGCAAGTTTTCCCATTAATAGCATGGTGATTTTCCATAGTTATGTAATGTTATGTAAACGTTTACCAGAGGGTACTGTATATACACATACACAATAGTACCCCGCCAGCCATTGAACTTTTAATTCGAAGTGGCCATCAGGATATCTATGGCTAGTAAGTGGCCACAATCTGTGTATGCTCACCCAACTCATTTCGGTGTTGTCAACCAGCATCTCCTGGGATACACTGACTCAAGACCCTACAAGACACGAAGATATTGACATATATTGACCAAAATGTTGAAGATATCCAAATATCAACCATTGCATGAGGCAGGGTGGCTGCTGGAGATGCAAAAACCAAGTCGGTAGTGCGGATACTTGACCAAGAAGCAACAACCTGTATGTGAAGATAACCCATACTGACAGGGACGCAACCAATAAACCTGCTAATTTAGGTACTCTATTCACATCCCCTCAGTCCTGAATTTTGACCCAAACCCAACCATTTTGGCAGATCCAGCCACCTTTGTTTTTGATTGTTTTTGGCCAAATCGATATGTCTTAGGGGTTAAAACCCTTATTTCTAGTTCCCAAACTAAACTTTACCATCATATTTACTTGATAAGTCCATAAGCAACCCCATTTCTGCTCCAAATCCTATCCGATATTCGGACGGATTCCACCATTTCGACTGGTCAGGTTCCCTTGGTGGTCCCCAAAAATCCTGGACTTTGTCAAGCTTCAATAAGCTCAAGGTCGCAACGGCAAGCTCCAAATCTCCCTTTGTCAAGGCCTGGCCAAATCAGGTCGCCTAGATGGGTTTCACCCCAAAAAACTTTCCTAAGTCATGAAGTTTTCCCCCAAATCATCATCCATTTGGGATTTTCCACCAGAAAAACCCATCTAACCCATCTATTTTAAGGGATACCACCATTTATGGTTTCACCCACCATTGACTCGGCTGGGCTAGTTCGAACCTCCAGGATCCCATCGTGGTGAAGGGTGATCCCCATCCAGATCCCAGAAATGGTGATCGTCACTGGGGCGAAAAACCAATCACTAAGTGGGATGATCCTCGTAGAAACACATAGCAGTACCCATGACGGATCCTAACGGTGCTGCTATATATGGTGCTCCATGGATCCCATCAATGTACCCCCTTTATGTTAGCAGCCATATACCAGCACCATGGATCCGTCATGGGGTATGAAGCATTGGTTTCATACACCATGGTAAAAATTGAAAAATCCATGCCCGAATCACAATGAGCGCCGCATATGATTTGGGAGGGTTTGGTATTATGCGTTCGGATGAAAACAAAGCAGCTCTTTGGAACCATCGGACACTTGAGTCTTCAGGCGGAGGGCTCTGAGTATATGGCGAACTGAATCAAAACCGTGGGAACCTACAAGTACCTAAAAATCGCTGGCGAATGGATGTTTATTCCCCCAGTCATATGGTAACAATGGCTTTTGACACAGACCCACATTTCACCAAAGCTGCCATTCCAAGATGCCGGCAGAAAACTGGATTACATTTTACATACCCTCTGGCAATCTAACATAGCTATGGAAAATGGACCATTGTTTTCCGATGATTTACCTATTAAAAATTGTGATTATCCATAGCTACGTTAAATAATCATAGGGTATATATATATATACTGCTATTGCTTGGGAATGGGGCTGAGATGATGAATTATGGGCAATATAATATCATATCATATATATATATATATATATGTTGAAGTGCGATCAGTATTCCCATTCTTCGACCTATGATATATGGAATTTAATATATCTTACATCTTGGTTGGGTTGTATCCCTATTGTATATTCATCATATATTCATCACTTTTGGATGGCCGCTATCGGGAACACCTGGCAGCAATGACTAGGCACCTCCTGCAAGGAAGGTTTGCCCAGCAGCTCTACGATTCCGGCGTCCATCAACATCCTGATTCTGGAGATACACCAGCAACAGAAATCTAAGCCGACATGGATTGAAACACACCTATACATGTAATGGGATGTCTAATAATATGCATACTTAAGTATGTATATGGTTATATAAATGTATAATATACATATGTATACGTACTTGTATATGTAACATTATGTTTATATGAAACACATGCAAACAGGCAGCTAAACAGACCGAAGGACAAACAAACACACAGATAGATGGGTGTATAGATATACTGGTTGGTGGTTTTAACCATCTTGAAAAATATTAGTCAATGGGAAGGATTATCCCACATATTATGGAACATAAAAATGTTTGAAACCACCAATCAGTATATCAAACCGTTCAAATGTTAGCTTTCTACTCCCTAATCTGAGGGAAACACAACAAACATCGCAGAAAACTACTGTTTGTTTGTCACAAACCCCACGTCAGTAAGTATCACCAAGAACAACGATACTTAAATCTCTAGGGATGCGATTGGTTGTGACAATAACTTATGACTTTGAAACACAAATATATACCCTCCAGTAAATTAACATAGACCCTGGCAAATAGGGATTGGAAGATTAGTTTCCACTCAAAAATTGTTGTTTTCAGGGTCTATGTTAATTTACCAGAGGGTAATAGTCCATGTGTTCAATCATGTTTTATATGGACTTAACGCGACTTTCTTTCATCATGTTTCCACCAATTTTTGACCACCAGTAGTATCTGGTAATTGAACATAGCTCTCAAAAGTCGCCATGAAAAATTGCTTGGCAGGTCGAACTTCAATTTATGGAGACAGCCATCCCAGCTGGGGTGGCTCAAACTCAGAACAAAAATTGGCACTACGGCCACTACGGGCACTTTTTTTAAGGAATTCCCCAAGTTAACATAAAGTGATTCCCCTACTATTCACACATCTACCCTCTGGTAATTTAACGGTTCGCTATTGAAAATGACCCAGTCGAAATAGTGGATTTTCCCATAAAAAACATGGTGGATCTTTCCAGTTCGCTATGTTGACATAACCAGAGGGTATGATCATCCCATGGATGATGTCCCAATCAGGGGAGATAAATAGTACGTGTCTTTGCAATAGACCTGCCATGAAAAATTCAATAAATTCTAAATGTGAATTTTTCAGGATCCAACAGATAGAGGTACGTTAGTACCATGTCAGACCTGCCATGAATTCTGGGATTTTTTTCATACTTCGATGATTTACCTATAAAACAATTAATTTGATCCTGGTTGGTGGTATACCTAGCCCTCTGAAAAATATTAGTCAGTTGGGATTATGAACTTCCCAATATATGGAAAAATAAAAAATGTTCCAAACCACCAACCAGTGACAGTCTGCCATTCAATTCAATAAATCAATCAGTGTATCACAGACTGGGCTATGTACATCTTTCCACCTTTCTGGCAATGTTCACAGTGTGCTCCTACAATGAGAAATTACAATATATGGAGGTTTCCTAAAATAGTGTACCCCCCAGTCACCATCCATTCATTATTTTATGTTTTTCTTTACATGAAATCAACCATCCAGTAATTAGGGTACCCGCATGACTTAGGAAATCCCCGTGATCCATCAATTTGGAAAAGAAACGGAACCTTGGTTGGATTGGTTTAAGGGAACATTTACAGGAAAACCCTATATTTGAGGGTAAAATCTATGGTTTCCTGCAGATTTCCCCTTAAAACAATCCAATGAAACGTGCAGAATGTCCTGCCTGGGCTATGCGTCCCAGCGTCGGATGCTGTGTTTTCTGAAGCGCCATGCTTTCCTCGTCAAGTCGACATGCCCGGCTACTTAGATCTGGGGTGGATGCCGGGGTCCCTTTTTTCCTCACCGTATTTTTCCCTGGTAAACCATCTATAAATGGACCATTTTCCATAGATTATCCATAGATTATCCATAATAAGTCCCATAATCTATGGATAATCTATGGATATATACTGGTTGGTGGTTGAGCCTACCCCTCTGAAAAATGATGGAGTTCGTCAGTTGGGATTATGAACTTACCAATATATGGAAAACCATAAAATTCATGTTCCAAACCACCAACCAGTTGGTGTTTGAGATCACATTGAAATCAGAGTGCTTTCTGAGTTGGATCAAACACAGCCGGCTGAATCACTGGTGTTATTGATGACCATCAAGTGGATGTTCACCGCACTAAACCAGTGGAGCAGTGTCAAAAACCGGGGAAAAACACATCGTTTGTAATCTGGTTAGTGGTTTCAACCCCTCTAAAAATATTAACCAGTTGGGATTATTATTCCCAAGATATGGATTTTTTTTAAAAAAAAAATCCAATTAAACAACCAACCAGTAATAGTTGCTTGATGGGAATTCCTTGAACGGATTATGATAGTCAAGGAAACCTAAACACCTGTAATCATCAGCCAACCATCATTTTATCGATGATATCCTCCTATCTTTGATGGCCAAAACAAATAAAAAACTATATATGCTTTCAAAATAAATCCCCATTCAATAGCCAATCACCTGTTTTCATTGAAACTCTTCAGTTCTTAACGTTCCTACCAACCACGTACCGCGTTTCACGTAACGAGGGCTTTCCGCGTACCGTGCCAAGAGTCGAAGGCCATGACCCGTGTGGCGGTCGAGCTCCTGGATACGCTCTTCCCCAGCATGGGAGCTAGTATTGGGTATAGCTAATGTCTAACTATATAAATGTGTTACTAATGTAAGACATTATGTACAGTAACACATGTTAGTTAGACTAGTTGGACATTAGTCTGACTAAAATGTTAAGTGGTGTCCCCTAATTTAAGATTGCTTACTGAAATAATTTCAGGTGAGGCCAGTAAACTGGTGTGCATCCCCAAAGAATGATTGCCATCATATTCAATTCTTTACGCATGTCCATTATCCATGGGTATTTGAACCTATTGTTCATCGTTGAAACACCATTGAATCACCACACAAAGACCAGAAATTAGTTTATAGTCTATATCCCATATACCTTCAATTGTTCTTGCCTAAATCCCCCATTTTTGCTGGTTATATCATATCCCACATATGCTGGTGATGTACCCCATGGTATTCCAATGTATCTCGTTGAACTTTCTGGCTTCGATCCACCATCTTGATCCATTGCTTCCTGTGACGGGCCAATTCCTGATATCCCCATGAAGTCTCCATTCTATCTCCATCAAATTATAATTAGATAGCTCATATTATTAAACAACCAATGAAACATGATTTTAGATAACCCTCTGGTAGTCTAACATAGCTATGGAAAAAAAACAATTTAGTTTCATGATTTAGCTATTAAAATGTTGATTTTCCATAGCAAACTGTTCGTTTACCGGAGGGTATCCCTATTAATCGGTTATATATTATCGAAGGAAGTTTAGAAGTCAAACTTCCGACAATATGGAGAGATGAAAAAGCAGTCAGCGGGGAGAAGAGTCAGAAGAGAAAAGATCAGAAGAAAGAAGA